CAATGGTACTAGATTGATGTGGGGATCTTGGATCCAATCTCCCACTCCGCTTGAGCCCTAGGCTTTGTCTCCTATACTCTTAAGTATAAAGCCTTTGTAAACCAAGTTCCTCCCTGCCAGGTGCCAGCACGTGCCCTCAAGGCAAATTTAGAGTTTGCTTACTTGTAGAATCAAGCATCCTTGTCATTTCAAGCTGAGTGTTTCCCTTCGTTTCCTGCCAGCTCAACCTTGCTTTAAGCAAATATTTTAAATATATTATCCAGCATTTTTAGATGATCTGACCAGGAAGTTTTTCCGTGCAAATATTGTCTTGTTCCCTAAATATCCTTAGGTAACTGTTTTAGTATTCATATTCTTTTTTTTTTTTAAGATTTTATTTATTTATTTGAGACAGAGAGAATGAGAGAGAGAGAGAGAGCACATGAGAGGGGGGAGGGTCAGAGGGAGAAGCAGACTCCCTGCCAAGCAGGGAGCCTGATGCGGGACTCGATCCAGGGACTCCAGGATCATGACCTGAGCCGAAGGCAGTCGCCCAACCAACTGAGCCACCCAGGCACCCCTAGTATTCATATTCTTTGAATTAATTTTACATAATGGTTTTACTTACTGTGTATGCTCCATTAGTGAAAAATGTAACTGAAAAAGCCATTTAGAAATCAAATTGGTTAACAACTTTTTTAGTCACAAATGATTTCTTTTTGCCTGTCATATATATTTATTGCATAAGTTAAGAACCATTCCAAAAGCTAAGAATAATTTCCAAAACACTACCCTTTTTTCCTGAACTCTAAATATAAATATTGACTCCAATATAATGTATATTTCCCTTCAACACCTTATCATAAAAATTTTCAAACATCTAGGAAAGTTGAAAGAATGTATTTACCACCTAGATTCTACCATCATTTTACAATATTGTTTTATCACATATCCATCCATCTCCCTTTCTATCAATTCATCTTACTTTTTGTTGCAGTGCAAAGGAAAATGCAGACATCAGTAAATTCTGCCTCAAATATTTCATAAACATAGTATTTTTATTTCTAAGCAATAAAGCTCTCTTTCCCAACATTGTGCTTACTATTTTATAAGAACTGAAAAGCATGACTCTGTGCCATAATCACCTAATACCATTTGAGTCAAAAAACAGTAGTCTTACAGTTAAGAGGGGAAATAAGTAGAAAAAATTAATTTTAATCCTTTATATTTCCATGTTAGTAAAATAAGCTTCATATGTGGCACATTTACTTGAAATGTTTGCCCTTTTATTTCATCAATATCTAGGAGTTCCTATTACAGTTTCTTTTTATTTATAATGAAAAGCTCTTACTTGTTAACACTTTCCTATTCAGTAGTTCTGGAGGACTATTCAATTTCCTGAGGACAGAGAAATGAACAACCAACTTCTGAACTTAGCTTAAACAGCTGAATTTACCTTCTGTGACATTGTGATTTATAATAAGAAATATATATTTGGTCTTTGTCCCATTCCTGGCACAGAGCCCCTAAAATCCTTAGAGTTTCCTAACTGAAAGGAAAATCTTTTGTTATTCATAACAAGTCCCTTTCAGCCCATCTGAGTTTATATTACAGAGAAGACTCTGTGACAGCCCCTAGGCTGGGGGCTGGTTGTCAGTGGAATCAAGCACACAATTAGAAGATTGGAAATTTCAGTCCCACCCCCAGACCTGGGGCTGGGGAGAGGGGTTGGAGGTTGAATTATTACCAATGGCCAATTATTCAATCAATCATGCCTATTGTAATGAAGCCTGCATAAATATCCAAAAGGACTGGGTTGAAAGAGCTTCCAAACTTGGTGAACATGTGGAGGTGCTGGGAGGGTGGCATTCCTGGAAAGGGAAAGAGGCTTCACATCCTCCCCCATATAACTTGCCCTATGCATCTCTTCATCTGGCTGTTCACTTGTATCCTTTAAAACATCCTTTAAAATACCAGCAATAGTAAGTAAACTGCTCTCCTGGGTTATGTGAACCTGAGGAAGGAAGGGGTAGCAGGAAACTCCAATTTGTAGCCAAGTTGGACAGAAGTTGTGGGTAACCCAGGGACTTACTACTTGCAAATGGCAGCTGAAGTAGGGACACTGGGACTGTGGGACTGATCCTTTTATATGTGGGGTCTGTGCTAACTCTGGCTAGTGTCAGAACTGAATTGAATTGTAGGACATCTAGCAGGTGTCAGAGATTGAGTTTGTGTGGGAAAAAAACTCCCGCCTATCTGGTTTCAGAAGTGTGAATATGAGAGTAAAGGAAAACACACTGAATTTTTTTTTAGACACCTTCTATGGATAGGTGTCTTCCAGCTTAATGATTTTATGAATTAGACTGCATCATCTATTTAAAATTTTACTACAGTAAACATTTTATTTAGCTATCATATCAATATTGTACCTCTGCTTTCTATCTTCAATGTTAAGAGCAATGATTTACATTTATAGGAAGCATTTCTTTATGAAAATTTATCACTTTGAACACATACAAAAAGGTGTCAAGAAAGGACATGAGAAATAAGTTTTAAAGTTTAGATTCATTTGGATTTGGAGGAAGGCTGTCAAGATAACTTAAGAAAAGACAAAAAGACCCGTGGTCTTCCTCTAATGTCAAGATAAAAACAAAATTATATGCAAAAACATTTTAATAACCCACATAGATAATTGTCAATTATCACAAACTCATACTATGACCTCACACTTTATATGCTATATGAAATTAAAATCAGTGTAATATTTTATTCCTTATCAAAAGAGGCTAATCTGGACTCAGGCAACCTCAGTCCTCAGCTTTACCAATTAGTGACCTTAGGTACATCCCTACTCTGCATGGTGCTCTTTTCTTCATCTTTAATTTAAAATTCTTTATGATGGTCTTTACTGTTTAGGACTTATTCCATTATCTAATAACTTTTTTAGAGTATTATACTAGCTAGACAAGGTGCAGGTTGTAATGCAATTCTAGCACTCTGCAAATACAAAAAAGTATTTGGCATGTTCCTTTTCCCCTAAGTAGGAGAACTTCCTGGCAGCAGATTAAACAAAAAAATAATTCCAATTTAAGCTATTTCATTTAATTTCTTCTAAACTTACTCTTCTTTTTTCATAATGTTATACATGGCCTACTGTCAAAAGAACTAATAAACACTCATTATAACTGAAATAATTGCAAAGAATGCAAAAAAGAAAACGTGAAAAACACAGTATACCCCAAGAAAAAACATTCAATTCCAGGTATAACCACACAGAAAAGCTAAAGTCTAATAATAATGACAACAACAACAATAGTCATCTCATCAAAATACATTCCAAAAATAATTAGAATACTGCATTTGAGGAAAACGTTAATGAACAAAAAATTGCACATTAGTAGAATGTGTGAACATCAGCAGGATATGAGCATCCTAGGGCCCAGCATTATGAAATGCAAGGCTCATGCACAACTAAATCACTGCATAATGTCAGAGAAGCCAGACAGTGAGGCCACCAAGAATATGCCTCCAAAACATCTGTTTCATTCAAATTAATCTTTTTGGGCTCTTCAGGCAGGAGGTGAATTCATTAGTTTTCCCCAGAAACAAGGAAAACAAAATATAGTCAGAGCAAAGAACAAAGCCCTATGTCCAAATAAATGTGACACCAGCCCCAATATTTTTGGCGTATGTTCACATGTAGAAAAATGCCTCAATCAGGATGAAGAGTTTCTTGAAATATGCTAAAGTCATTCAGATAAAAAGGCAAGATTCAATCATAGATTGTAATTCAAGCAATATATTAACATTTTTTAGTTTCTAAAAAGACTATTTTCCAAAGGTTTCCCTGTTGGGTAAGGATTAAAGTGCCACTTAATAGTTTATTTATTTGTCAAATGATAATACCCTCTTACAGAGTTGTTCTGAGAAAAAAAGGAGAGACTATACATGAAATTGCTTGAAAGAGTTAAAAAGAACTATATCAGGTTATAAATGAAATCAAAACTCTACATTCAACTCGACCTAATACTTCCTTTTGGTACATGAAGTTGGTAATTCTATTACTTCTTGTTATAAAACACCATATATAAAGGTATACAACATGTATATTCAATTAAAAGAATAATAATTTTAATGGACCCTGGTATAGTTCCCTCTCATCTTAAAAAAATGGAACATTACTAATACCTTGGAAGCTCCCATGTGCCTATTCCTATCATATTTCTCTTAACCCACCCTACACTATCCTAAATTTTCTGCTAATCACTTCCTTGCTTTTATTTATAGCATTGACACATTTATATGTATCCCTAAACTATCTAGCCATCATCTAATTCCATCCATTCACCTTCCTTCCTTCCATCCATTCATCCATCCATTTTTTGAACTTTATGTATATGGAATATACTATATGTACTTGCCCTTCAACTTCTATAGTCTTTTACTCAGAGTGATTTCTTGACATTATTATCTAATTTTTCATACAATCCCTAAGATTAAAGAAATGTATTATACCCATTTAAAGCAGAGAAAATGAGGCACAGTGAAACTAGGAGCTTGCCTCATTGTATGAAAGGACAATGGACAAATCTTTCTACAGTAATTCTGAAAGTAAAGCAAACCAATGACTGTCTCAGAGCTTTATAGCACATTCATATTTTTAGCTTCAATTAAAACTAAAACATTTCTCTAGTGCTAAGAGCACAATTAAGTTAATACTTTAAAACTGACTTTACCCCCCCCAAATTAACTTTACATAGTATTGTTTGCTTTCATATTAAAGGGGAAGTTATATTCAAATGTACTGACGATGTAAAAGCCCTAAACAATATTCAAATATATTCCTTAAAAGGAAAACAAAAACAAATTAAATAAAGAATATCAAGAGAAGATTTGTTTTTTTTTTCCTTAGGAAATGGACTATTAGAAAACAGCCATATTATGAAATATTCTAATTAAATAAAATGACTCATTAAATAGGTAATTAGTCTGACACTCATCAATTCCAAGATATTGTTCACCTGAGCAAGTGATGGAAGAATCTTCTTGCATATTTGCTGATTTCGTCTCTATATTCCAATATAGTTGTATCCAGGAGTGGTCTTGTTGGAGCATAAAAGGTTCCAAGGCTTGCCTCAAGCTGTGCTGTGGAATTCAAACATAGCAGCACTAAAACAAGTGAAACTCCTTCAATTACAACAGAATACTCATGTTTGCAGTCAGTCAGGTTTTGCAAACTTGGATGAAATGTGAGCTTGTTGCAGGAAAGATGAAATTAAAATATGACAGCTGGTACAAAAACAAACCTGTGTATAAACTTTCACTTGAGGCAAAGCTGACAATGACTCTGAGCAACAAAAAGCTGTCAAAACTGAAGAAATCCATAATGAACCAACCTCTCACCACAAATGGATAATTAAAACAGTGACTCATCAAAGTAACACAGTTTGAACTAGTATTTCCAGTAAAATCAACTCACAGTGTGCTCAACATTTACCCTTTAACTGAAAGGAGAAAACAAACTTTTACATTGGGAATTGAAATAAGTATTAGAAGTGTTTTCGAAATAATACAAATGAAAATAGCCCTGTTGGAGTACTAATACCTTTCTAAGACAATTTTAAAGAAACAGTGAAAGTCCCCATGCCTTCCCTAAATCTCATCCTAAAAAACAAGATTGTTGGTTTTGTCCAAGTGTGAAAACTAATACCCCTGGGAGGGATGACATGCTAATCCCCTCTTGGTCAACTGACACCTTCCTAGGAAAAAAGGATTGGAGAGCAAGTTTTGATAAACCAGAGGGCTAGAGATTGGGAGAAAAAGGCACATTTTGCCTGCTTCATGATTTTACCATGCCATGCCTTTGGGGTTGTGTTTTCTCCCAGAAATACCTAGAAGTTATATAATTACAGTAATGGTGAGAGTTGTATGAGAACACTACAGTTCACAGTAAGACTCCATTGATTTTTATGCTACCAGCGCTGGATTGAATAAACAATTCCTTATTTAGCAAAACTCTTTAGTTTTAGGCATATTTAGGTTTGAAAGTATTAAATACCTCATCAGAGTAATTGCTATGGACTTGGCTAAATTGTTAGTAATTTCTTTTTTTTTTTAATCTCAAATCTAGACAGTAAAGTAAGATGAACTTTAGGGGTATTTTCTTTCAAAGCAGCAGTCAATTTAGATTAAAATTGAATACAGCAACGCTATTGTGAAAACAAGCCAGATCCTCTTGCCATTGCTTGTTTTCTAGGCAGCATGTACTTCTGAAATGTTTGAGCCTACATGGAATACTCATAACTCCCGGCACAGTTACAGATTCATTAGATAGCCCAGCTTGATGTTTAAGGCAGAAATGAAGATCTCAAAGATAACCACAACACAGCCACAAATAAAAGAGCTCACTGGGTTCCACTAATAAAAGGAAAACAAATTACCACGTCAAATTTGTTAGATTCGGATAGAATAAATCCCAAAAGAGAAGAATTCTGAACGTTTTACAAATGTATTTTATAGTTACTTGGGGAATAACACATATACCTACTTAAAATGTACATATTCTGATAACCCAGTATCATGCAAGTGTTTTAATAGAGTGGTATCATACAAGCTTTTTATTTCCCTATCTTCCCAAAATGGTTCCTTGAAAATATCTTTTATTAAAGCAAGAATCTGCTAATGCCCACTTGTGAATTCCCTAATAATCTTTCTTACAAACAAATTCACCAAGGTGCTAGCAATTTCTCAGTGTCCTGAGTGACAGTCAATATTTTATCCTCTCTAAGATTCTCGAACTGTAAATTAGGATCTCTTGTATAGATTGTGTATACCATAACAGGCTTTCTTTATGGACTCTGCCTTTTTTTTTCCTACTATGTACCTAAGCTTGAGAGTGTACCAATATAAGAAATAAGTACTTGAGATAACTCTGTAGGCAGACATATTACAGTAATAACTAACATTTTGAAGTTATACTCTTCTTTTTAACTAATATTCTTTGAGTACCTACAGTAGGCCAAGCACTGTCTATGCTAGGCATTTTCTCACTGTAGAAATACTGGACCCTCCATAGATGGATTGGACTACCTCCGAAAAGCACATTCAATTAACATTAAATAAATATTTATTGCGGGCCTCCTGTGAGTTGGTACAAGTCCCATGATGTGAACTTCCTGAGGGAACATGCCCTCTAAAATGACTACAACGAAGGTTATGTATAGAATTTTATCTAAACATTGTGTTTACTTTGGAAATGTAATAAAATGGAATAAGAAAATCTATAAACTTTCAAAGAAAATAGTAGGAAAAAAAGCTCTTCAGCAAAGACCTTTTGACATATCTCCTGTTTTCTCTATCTTGTAAATTACCTAGGGACAGTTTCTCATTGGCTAGGACTTATCATTAACGTCAATGATTCTTGCAAAGATTTGAAATAAAGATACAAGTGCAAGAACATTTAGGTGCATTTTACATTAAGTAAATAACTTATAATAAAAATAATGTATACTGGATAATTAACAAATATAAAAATGAATTTCATTATTGTATGTGGCACATTATTCCCCCCTGCTTTTTAAAACAGTATCCTGAGGGGTGCCTGGCTGGCTCCAGTTGGTAGAGCATGCAACTCTTGATCACAGGGTCATGAGTTCAAGTCCCACGTTGGGTGTACAGCTTACTTAAAAAAAAGAGAGAGACAAAACAGTGTCTTATCTGAGATCCTATGGGCAGAACTACTTGCTGAGGGAAAGTAGAGAAATCAAGCAGGCAGAGGGGTATCAGAACTACCAGTTAGAATGAAAACAAAGAGCAGCTAGCTGAGGTACAATTCTCGATCTCTCTCTCTCTCTCTCTCTCTCTCTCACACACATACACACAGACACAGACACACACAAAATCAGTGGTTAGGACTATTCTCTGGACAAAAGACTTGGGGTGGGAGAGAAAAATATTTATGTCTAAAGTGAAGGAAGAATAAGGACTTTTGTTTGGGGCCCTTTGTATACCAGACCCTAGAGAATACATGTAATTTTTTTTTTTTTAAGATTTATTTATGTATTTGAGAGAGAGTGTGTGTGCATGTGCAGGGGGAGGAGTAGAAGGGGAGACAGAGGGACAAGCAGACTCCGCGCTCAGCGTGGAGCCCAACGCCAGGCTCCATCTCACCACCCTGAGATCATGACTTGAGCTGAAATCAAGAGTCAGACAGTTAATCAACTGAGCCACCCAGACACCCCAAGAGTACATGAAATTCTTGATTAAAGTTTGAAATTTGAGCATATTCCACACATGAACTTAGACTGAAATGTACAATGACTGCATTGTGAGTTCCAACATAGATACATACAAAAATTTTACTCTTTATATTGACAAATACTAAAAAGTACCATATAATTATTTCATATCTGATCTTGTCAGTTTTAATAGGGCATTAACATTTTAGTCTTTCAATCTCCAATAACATAACTCAAAAAATACTCAAAAGATAATTGACTCAATAAAATGTACTTCATATATATACAAAATACATTTATGAAATATATTTCATGCTGACCTTCTCTCTCTGGAGTGAGTTTTTGTCTAAGAAGATGGTTTACAATGGCACTCATGCTGATAAAGCATTGGTGACCCAGAGTGTCCCAGTTCATACTGCTCAGGATGTTTATTGCCTCATAGATCTCATCACAGTGAATGTACTGGAAAATGATGTCTGTCAGGCCCAGCTGTCCTCGTGTGAAGATACCTGTCACAAAAAAAGTAAAACCAAGTGATTGTTTTAAAAATAAAAAATAGACTAACAAAAACAGAGTTAATACCTGCATAAAGGAAAAAAACAGTAATCATTTCTTGCATAAGTGCTAAAAATGTGGGATTGGCAAGGCCAGTAGTGATTCTGTGGTTAAATCTTCATTTTGAATACCAGCTACCAACCAACTCCATCTATCTCATGCCTATCATTCAGCATTAATTAATTTATACTCCACATAATCAAACTGCTTACACTAAAAATGCATAAACATGAGAAGAATGTTTAGGTAGACCACAATAGCTAACTCTATTTTTCTCATCAGTTGTTGGGCCTCTGTTGTATAGATTTAAAGACAGGTTTTTGATGTGAACACAATTCTTGTTGACCAGCTTCATCAGTTCTAAGTTGTTTTTAGTTGTCAGCCCCACATACTTTGGTGTGGTTGTGAGTAAATACAAATATCCATGACAAATAAGACTATATAAATAATTTTAAGTCTGTTTTATTAATGGGTACTCTCAATTGATAATTATTTCATAGATACTACATACCAATTTATCTTATATTGGCATTTAAAGACTATTCTTTTTGTTTTGTTTTGTTTTTAAAGATTTTATTTATTTATTTGACAGAGAGAGAGACACAGCGAGAGAGGGAACAAAAGCAGGGGGAGAGGGAGAGGGGGAAGCAGGCTTCCCACGGAGCAGGGAGCCAGATGCGGGGCTCGATCCCAGGACCCTGGGATCATGACCTGAGCCGAAGGCAGACGCTTAACAACTGAGCCACCCAGGCACCCCAAGACTATTCTTTTCTACTGAAGTAAGAAGTGATCAATATTAATCCTGCTAGTGATGCCCTTCACAACTAATATTTACTTTGAAATATTCTTGGTATAATATAAACACATTTGTTTATCCTTCTTAAAATGAAAGAAAATCTATTTTTTTTAAAGATTTTATTTATTTATCAGAGACAGAGACAAGAGCACAAGCAGGGGGAGAGGCAGAGGGAGAGGGAGAAGCAGGTTCCCTGCTGAGCAGGGAGCCCAACGTGGGGCTCGATCCCAGGACCCTGGGAACATGACCTGAGCCGAAGCCAGTCGTTTAACCAACTGAGCCACCCAGGTGCCCCAAGAAAATCTACTTCTAATCTTAGAGGAACAAGACTACAAAAAAAAGTGGGTCATTTTGTTCTAATTTTATTTTATCATTTTTTATATATGCTTGATCTCATTTGAAACTAAGAATTTCTGTGTAATTAAATGACAGTAAGTATTAGGGCTTTTGAGCAGTTTTTTTTTTCCTAATCTTTCAAAAATGGCTGGCTATAAAATCTTTTTTCTTCAGCCAATGTTTACTGATTAAAGTGAGTCTTTAAAAACTTCTCAATACAAATAATCATAAAGCTAAAAGAGAAAATGTATGTGAAAAGATTTGTAACCTGTAAAGTATATAAAATATTACTGCAATTCTTTTTATTACTACCATCATCATCATTTAACTGGAATAGTTATAGGTTTTAGGATTTTAAAAAGTATATTGGTTCATAACAAAGATGCTGAAATTCTTCATATTAACTTCAAGTCACATCAAAATGAGAATTTGTGCTATATCTGACAGAATTCAACTTGAAAGGGAATCTGGGGAATTGCCCTGACTATACTAAGCAATAAAACCTCACTATTCTTTTTGTGTTGGTAGAATCAATAAATGGTACTATCCAAAAGCCTTCATGAGCTTGCAGTCAAGCACTGGAAGACCTCATAAATCAGGGTGGTTCCTTGGCAGTAGATACTAATGTGTAGGAGCTTTACAGGAAACCAAAAATATCTGAAATCTGTTGATTCCATCTATACCCTAAGCAACACTTCTAGCAAGAGAAGGAACAATCAAATTGTTCTTTATTTGTATTTATTTTATATATATTTAATATAGTTTATTTATATTTATTTATAATATATTTTATATTTATATTTATAATAAATATTTGTATTTATAAATAATTGTTCCAAAGAAAAGGACACACATACAAAGATATGAAAAATTGCAAAGTTTGCTTCTGAAATCATGCAAGCCAAAAGATGACAGCAAGACTTTTAAAAATGCTGAAATAAAAATGAATTAAACTAAAATTCCATACCTTTATAATAGCTGAAAAGTCATGAAAAATCATAACAATCTTTAATGTACCTAGTAAGAGAGTTCTGAAATAATAAAGCAAAGAGATAGAACTAAAAGAAGAAAAAGTCAAAACCACAATTATAATTGGAGATTTCAGCATTTCTCTCTCACTAATTGAGAGAACAGGTAAACAAAATCAGCAAAAATAGAAAATACTTCAAAAACACTATCAATGAATCTGACCTGACATTTATAAAATATTTCACCCAACAACAGCAAAATACATTCTTTTTACATGTACATAGACTATCAGCCAAGATGGGACATATTGAGGGTGATAAAACAAACCTCAATAAATTTACTTGCTTTGAAAACATACAGAGTAGGTTCTCTGACCACAACAGAATTAAATTAGGTATCAATACAGAGAGATGTCTGGAAAATCTCCAAACATTTAGAAATTAATCAACATTCTTTTAAAAAAAATTATGATTTAGGGGTGCCTGGGTGGCTCCGTCGGTTAAGAATCTGACTTCGGCTCAGGTTTCAGGTCATGATCTCAGGGTCCAGCAATGGAGCCCCACATTGGGCTCCCTGCTCAGCAGGAAGTCTGCTTTGCTTGTCCCTTTCTCTCCCCCTCTGTCCCTCACCCTACTTGTGTTCTGTCTCTCTCTTGGATAAATAAAATTGTAAATAAACAAGTAAACAAAGTATGATTTAAAGAAGAAATCACAGGGGCACCTGGCTGGCTTAGTCAGTAGAGCATACAACTCTTGATCTCAAGGTTGTGAGTTCCAGCCCCATGTTGGGGGTAGAGATTACTAAAAAGATAAATAAAAATAGAGAAGAAATCATAGAGTAAATTTAAAAATATTTTGAAACGAATAAAAATAAAAATATAACATTGAAATTTGTCAGATGTACCTATAGCAGTACTTAGAGGGAAATTTCTAGCATTAAATGTTTTAATTAGAAAAGAAGAAAGATCTAAAATCAATCCAAGCTTCCACGTTAAGAACCTATGGAAAGAAGAGCAAATTACACCTAAAGCAAATAGAAGGATGGAAATGATAAAAGTAAGAAATAGAAAATAAAGAATAGCCAATGAAATCAATAGCTGGTTCTTTGAAATGATCAGTAAAACTGACCAATATCTGCCTAAACTGATGAAAAGGAGAGCAGACACGACTTACCACAATCAAGAATAAAGACTATAGAACTACAGACATTAAAAAATAGTGATTAATATGAATAACTTTATACAAATAAATATAATTTAAATGAAATGGATTCTTTGAAAGATCCAAACTCTCAAAGCTCTTTCAAGAGGGAATAAATAATTTGACTCTGTGTTATTTAAATTTGAACTCATAGTTAAAGAACCTTTATACACATATACATGCATGCATGTACACACACACACACACACACACACACACAACCTGCATGCCTGGATGCCTGCATTGGTGAATTCTCTCAAACATCAAAAGAAGAAATAATATCAACTCTCCACAACTCAAAATATAAGAGGGAGCACTTGTCAACTCATTTCATGATGTTAGCATTACACTGATATCAAAAATGACAGCAAAATTACAGGAAAAGAAAAAGAAAACTACAGACCAATATCTCCCATAAACACATACAAAAATCCTTAACAAAATATTAGCAAGTCCAGCAATATATTAAAAAGATCATATATCATGAACAAGAGAGATTTATCCCACAAATGCAAGGCCACTGAAACAGCTGGAAACTAATCAATATAATTCACCATAAAACCAGAAAAAACATATAATCATTTCAACTTATGCAAAAAAAGCATCTGAAAAAATTCAATATCCACTCAAGATAATGGATCTCAGGCAACTAGGAATGGAAGGGGACTTCCTCAACCTAATAACACAAAACTTATAGTGAAAAAACTAAATGCTTCCTACCTAAGATCAGACACAAAACTGAGAGCTTTCCCCCTAAGGTCAGGAACACGGCAGGGATGTCCACTATCACCACTGCTATTCAACATAGTATTACAAGTCCTAGCCACAGCAATCAGACAACAAAAAGAAATAAAAGGCATCCAAATTAGCAAAGAAGAAGTCAAACTCTCACTC